TATCTTTACTTTGGGCATTCAGAAACAAAGCTTCCAACTGCAATAGTGTGTATATATGATGATTATATTAGCTGTGTGCTGAAAACGTGGAGGCGTGGTAGTGTTCTGAGTTGCTTATACTTACGTACACCTTTGTTGTTTTTAAGAAAACAATCTGTTATGAATCGAAAAAACTTTAATGGTTTAGTAAAGCACAGTTATGAGAGTCTGTCAGTCACAGATGAGATGTGAAACAAGTCCAAGAAATATCACAGTGTGTTTGATAAACTGTGCAGATGATGACGGTTCATGTGTGACTACAGGTGAACCGCTGACCTTTATCTGCTTGATCACGATCATAAACGAATAAAAGAATGGACTCTGACTGCTAAAAGTGCTCATTCTGCATTTCTTGATGCTTCAGTGCATGACTGCTGACCTCAGCAACTTCAGAAATGCAATATAATGACACTGTCAGCATCTGTGTGTGGGTGAACAGATCACAAGACCAGAGGTTTCCTCCAGCAAACAGTCAGCTACACTTACCTACAAAGAATATATAACGCATCCCAACAAAATGGCTTAGAAAATGAAAGTGAGTGATGTGCGGGACAAGTGAAACTACTGCTCGTCTCTGTGTGTCTGAAAGTCAATGCCAAATTTTCTGAAAATGCTTCCGAGAGGGAGTAGGTAAATGATAAATAATAAAGAGCCCAGAACGGATCCCTGTGGGACACCAGTCATGAAATTAGATGACTTAGATCGAAACTGGTTTAGTTGTTCAAACCAAGTATGAACTGTGAGATATGAGGAAGGAAGTACCAACAATTCCTATGGATTGCAAACTATCTATTAATATTTAATGGACTCTGACTGCTAAAAGTGCTCATTCTGCATTTCTTGATGCTTCAGTGCATGACTGCTGACCTCAGCAACTTCAGAAATGCAATATAATGACACTGTCAGCATCTGTGTGTGGGTGAACAGATCACAAGACCAGAGGTTTCCTCCAGCAAACAGTCAGCTACACTTACCTACAAAGAATATATAACGCATCCCAACAAAATGGCTTAGAAAATGAAAGTGAGTGATGTGCGGGACAAGTGAAACTACTGCTCGTCTCTGTGTGTCTGAAAGTCAATGCCAAATTTTCTGAAAATGCTTCCGAGAGGGAGTAGGTAAATGATAAATAATAAAGAGCCCAGAACGGATCCCTGTGGGACACCAGTCATGAAATTAGATGACTTAGATCGAAACTGGTTTAGTTGTCCAAACCAAGTATGAACTGTGAGATATGAGGAAGGAAGTACCAACAATTCCTATGGATTGCAAACTATCTATTAATATTGTATGCGGAATGTTGCCGATAAATCAAGAAGAATTAATACAGATAAAAGTCCCGAGTCAGCTGCTACCAATAAGTCATTTAAAATCTTAACAATCTCAGTATTATGATGGGAAAGAAAACCAATATATAAATGTAAATAACATGCAATTAAGTATCTGAAAACATCACATTAAGTTCACACTTATAAATACACACTTGTATATCATTTCAGATCACATTATTTCCATAATAAGTGGAATAATCTGTCACAGATGGCGTTTGGGTTCCTTGCCACTGTCGCCTTTAGGCTTTCTTAGTTGGGTGCACTAAATATTTGGCATTTAAATTGGCAATACTATAAACTTGACTGCACAGACACTATTGGAAGAGAACTGAACTGAGCTGATAGGACTGAATCAACGATGAACTGACTTTAACTGAAAAATTGTCTGTTTACTATTGTCCTCATTTTAGAGCTGCTTTACAGCAGAATTGAAATTAGTTTGCATTATTGACACTATTTTCCTGTTTAACAATATAAAGCTGTTTTGACTGTATTGTATAAATCTCTATATAAATAAAGGTGACTTGACTTGACTTAAGTACTCTTCTTAAAACGTTAGCTGTAGTGTGCTTCTTTTACACAAGGGAACAGAAAGAATACGTGAAGAAAACCGGTTGAGGTGTTAAACCTGCTGTTGACCTGAAGTGACGTGTGCTGTTTGGAGTGAAGCAGCGATCGCTGTGAGGACTTCACAACAAAACCCAAACCCAGTGAGACCATGTGCCCTCTAACCCCGAGGAACATGCTTTTGTTTTGATTTGAACAGTTCAAGTGAGCTCTTCAGCCTCTGGCAGATGACAAAGCCATGCTGAGACGTGTGTTTGTCCACTGATAACCTCCTCGACCCAGAAAGAGCGGCAGGAAAACATCCAGAGGATTCCCAACGAGAGAACGGCTCTCCACAGATAAACAACCTCTTTCCCTTTCAGTGCTGCCCATTTTCCACCCTCTGCAGGGCACCTTAGCCTGAGCAAAACACGTCTGGAGATATTACAATAACAGAGCTGATGTTTATGTAAAGCACAGTCTGCAGCTACGCCCCGCACTCCTCAGATCAAATTGACCTTTTATTTCAATAAACCTCACAGCATAAACGTCCATCCACGCAGAAGACCAGCATACAGATGAAGGAACCGCACAGATACTCTGCTGACGTGGCTCTCGTGGGCCATCTGAGTAAGGTTCAGTTCATTCACCATCATGGACATTTGAGGCAAATATCAGTCTGCTCCTCACAAAAAGCATCATTTAACTTGAAGCTACAGTCATGTGAACTACTGCTATGATGCTTTCTGCAGAAGCTTGCAAGCTCCAGTCCCTGACAGCGCAATCTTGAGTATTTCACTCAAAATATCTTTTTCATACTTTTGTGCTCTGCAGAAAAAAAAGTAAAGGCTAAAATACACTATACGACTTTTAAAATCTGAACAGATTTTAGAACACCAGGCATCACAAACGTACTGACTCGTTCTGAATACAACAAACTGAAAATAGCAAGCATGTTTGGTCTCCCACAACTGGATAGAAGCATTTTCTGTGAAATATGTCAGTTAAAACCTGCAGACTGGCTCCAACTTTTGCTAACTATCATCAACTCGTCCAAACTCTTAATCTGAGCAAAAATCTGTACAAACATTGTGTAGTGCAATCCAGCCTTAAAGGAGTAGTTTCACTGGAGGAAACGTTATGGATTATGGGCTCGTATTTTAGGCGGAAGCAATGGTTTGAAGATAAAAATATTTTAAAGATGGATTTGATTCTTCCAAACACACAGCTTTTGTATTTTCCAGATGTTAACTGATGAACTGGAGTGCTGTGGATTATTGTGATGTTTTTATCAGCTGTTTGGACTCGCATTCTGACGGCACCCATTCACTGCAGAGCATCCATTGCTGAGACACTGATGCAATGCTACATTTCTACAAACCTGATGAAGAAACAAACTCACCTACATCTCGGATGGCCTGAGAGTGAGCACATTTTCAGCAAATGCACATACATAATTATTCCTTTAAGACATACAGGTTTGGAACAGCATGACAGATGGTGAAAGTGCTCACATTTGGGTGAACTATGCATAGCATTTCTGTAAGGACGTTCCTTTATCAGCTGTTTGGACTCGCATTCTGACGGCACCCATTCACTGCAGAGCATCCATTGCTGAGACACTGATGCAATGCTACATTTCTACAAACCTGATGAAGAAACAAACTCACCTACATCTCGGATGGCCTGAGAGTGAGCACATTTTCAGCAAATGCACATACAGCATGACAGATGGTGAAAGTTCTCACATTTGGGTGAACTATGCATAGCATTTCTGTAAGGACGTTCCTGAGACGAAAACTCATGTTGTGAAATCTAAAGGCCTTTTCACACTGAACACAAAAATTTGGCGCAAATGTTTGGCACGATGATGCTTTTGAATCAAAACAATAGATCCCCATGGGGCTATTCACACCAGGCGTAATCATTCGCGGTGCGAAAAAACAAGGATTTTTTTTCATCATTTGTGTAAATTTTTTCCCCCGTTGCTCTACGAGGAAACAGGCCGTCCAATTAGATTTGAGCTTAGATCACGTGCCCGGAGCAGCTGCTGTTGCACAACTATAGATCACAAACCGAAGTTATTACAAGCACTCGATGATGGTTTAAAGTGGGTTTTAAGCAAAAATATTAATAATCACATAAATGTTCAAGTGTAGCTTGATGCTAATTGTACCATTACTTATATTTTAAGATGTATTCTTGTAAGCATTATAGATAGTTTGTGTTTCTGGTGTAGAGCCAAACTATATTTACCTTAATTTAATGCTGTATATTGAGTAGTGGACGATGTTAACGCCATAAACGAGATACATAACTGAGGAAAAATGCATTGTTGGTCGGCGCCACCTGATGTGCAGGCGTGAATTAGCAGAAGGCGATCAATCGTTTCGCACTCAGTGTGAAAGCTCCGTTCATCGGTGATTCACCTCGCTTTTTTGCGCTCAGTGTGAAACAGTCTTAAGGCAGAACATGGAAATTCAGCACACTCACCAGATGAACGTAAGGCACGAAGTATCCGTACAGGGCCGCAGGGATCCCAAAGGCCCATATGCGGTATCCCAGAGACCTCCAGATGTGCATGTTAAACACCCTCTTGAGCGAGGGAAAGCGGCTGCCCGACTTGCTGCTGCTGAGGGGTTTGGGCAGCAGGGGTTTGTAGGTGAATCCCGCCAGCATGAGCATGAACATGAAGACGCTCAGCACACGCAGCGTGTAGGCGAGTCCCACGCGCTTCAGCAGGCCGGTCAGCATGTAGGGGAGCGTGATGGTGAATACGCTGCTGCCCGCCGTCACAATGCCGTTCACCAGGCCCAGCCTCCGCTTGAAATAGTGACCCAGGATCACCAGACTCGGCTGATATGCAAAACTGCAGCCACACGCAAAGACTATGCCATAGGTGAAGTACATTGGCCCGAGAGACCTGCAGAGAATAACGATTGGACTGCGTTAACTTTAAAGGCACATTATAAATCAAATTAAATACTACTAGTAATGCAATTCAAAGCACAATTGTGAAATTTCTCCTGACAGTTTTTGTGCTATCGAAATTCTTCCTCGTCTCTCAGTTTAATGTTGACTGTAAATCAGTGATTAATAGATTGATTCTGCTGAAGAGTGAACCACTGCAACTCCGTGATGCTTTTAAAACATTAATCTATTTCTCTGACCAATGGCTAATAGTAAAAACTTTTTTTTTCAGTTTAGTTCTGGTGATGCTAGTGGCGCAAATATGAAATACGTTAGCTTTAATGTCAGGAGTGTAAACGTATGATTGCTTTGTGGTCAGCTAAACTCCATTTAGAGCTAGTTATGCTCTCCAGTTCAGCAGACTGCAACATGTATTTAGTGCAGTGTATTTAAGTACAGGTATTTGTTTGTTAATCTTCAGTATTTAGAGAAACAATAAGCAACAACTTGTCGCTGATTGTAACAGTCATACAAAGTGCGTTAAGTAATCAGATTACTTTTTAATGAAACGAGTACCCAAGTCATTACTGCTGTATTAATTTAATATCCTTACTGATAGTTGAAAGCCTTCAGAAACATCTTGAGAAGAGAAGAGAAGAGAAGAGAAGAGAAGAGAAGGAGCTAGTTATGCTCTCCAGTTCAGCAGACTGCAACATGTATTTAGTGCAGTGTATTTAAGTACAGGTATTTGTTTGTTAATCTTCAGTATTTAGAGAAACAATAAGCAACAACTTGTCGCTGATTGTAACAGTCATACAAAGTGCGTTAAGTAATCAGATTACTTTTTAATGAAACGAGTACCCAAGTCATTACTGCTGTATTAATTTAATATCCTTACTGATATCTTGAGAAGAGAAGAGAAGAGAAGAGAAGAGAAGAGAAGAGAAGAGAAGAGAAGAGAAGAGAAGAGAAGAGAAGAGAAGAGGGCCAAGTACAGAGCCTAGTGGGACCCCAGTGTCAGACTAAAGGAGTACAATCTTGTATGTTTCAATTTAATCAATGGAACTTTGGGTTCTTTAGGAACAGGAAAAACAGTGTCTTAAAGTACTGAGTAAGATGAGAAGGCATCCCCACAGTCCTTCAAATCATGCGTCAGAATAAAAACATTATATTGTCAGGTGTTCTGGATGATCTCCACATCTATACTCCATCCACTGCTTACAGACAAAACCATTCCCTTTTGACAGCGAACATAAAATCACACAGGAAGGATAGTTGAGTATAAAAACAGATGGGCCACAGCAACTAGAAAGCAATCATTTTATCCAGTTTACAGTCCATTGGCTAAGCACTAGTAAGTACACTTGGTAGTGAAGGATGGTCATTACCACCTATTTCCAGTTACAGGTAATATAAGCATTAATTGAACTGCTTAGCAAGAAATTAAAAAAAAATCTCTATCTAAAACCTGAGGTGAATGTAATGTACTTACGTGACGAAGGAACTGCCCAGAAGTCCCACAAACGCCACTGCTGCCCCTCCAACTGCTGTAATCCGGCAGCCAAACAGATCGGTGAACACACTGACGATCGGTGAGAAGAAGAAGATCATACCCATTGAGAGCGAGCCGACCCATGCTACACACACACACACACACACACAGAGAGAGAGTTCATTTATATAAAGCCAGCAGTCTAAGTAAATTAAACTTCCATTAGATACATTTAAATGTGTTTAAATGTGTGTGATAACAAACAACTCATTATATAATGCTGTTTTAAAGATTTACATAAAAAAACAACAATACAGACCAGATCGAGTCAAATGACAGAGCGCACCAGTATCCATCAACCCAAATAAAACAAGAAAATAATCAAATGGGATGAAGTATTTTTCATTTGTAAAGCAATTCATGCACTGGATTATACAAAATGAGCATTATTATTTCCAGCATGAAATAGCTAACTGTTAAATGATTCATACTGTGCCACTGTATTTCAGCACAGTTCTCACAGGATACTGCGCCTGTAATTTATTCTTATCACATAAACAATCATTTTTAGAGAGAAAGATCCTACACACAGACACAGAAATGTTAATCTAACACACCACAGACTTACATTATATTTCTGTGGCATGACACACACTGGTTTTACTGCAGGACTGAGAGTTTTCATTAAACATCAAGGGGAGAGAAAGCTGTTGTACAAAAGTTCATTAAATGTCCTTAATCATTGATATGTATTAGCATGAACTGGATCACGTGAGTTTGCAGTAAAAAACAGCCGTGTTTGAGTCTGACACGTGAGCCTGACATGCATTACCGTCCTTCATGCTGCAGTTTCACAAAGGAAGTCAAAGTGATCATGTGATGATCTGGGTTATGGAGTAAGTCTCTCTCCGACAGAAACACACACACACGGCCATCTAACTTCCCTAAAGAACACCACACATGACACTCATGAAGGCATCCTATTTATTCTACTTTATTTCACCAAAACGATCCTGAATCTGAGTCTGTGTATGAAAAAGCTTTTTTAGGAAATATATAAATAAATAATTAATAAATAATATTAATATTTATAATAAGACAAGAACCAGCTGTGTTTGGCATCACTGTCGGACACAGTGTGGTGCAGCTTCATCATGGCCTGTATTTGAATTCATATTAATATCACACAAAATCATCATGAAGACTGAAAAAGAAAGAAAGAACAAATGAAAGAAAAAAGAGAGCAAAAACGAATAAAGAAACATGCAAAAGAAAGAAGGAACGAGTGACTGGTAAGGAGAAGAACAGAGGGATTGATTCTGTGACCCTCGAGCTACAGCAGCCTGACATGTGTGACTCTCTCCAGCATCAGCGAGGAGGACCTGAGTGAAACCACGGCGTGTGTCCAGTCTGTAATGATTCCTCACACACTGCAGTGAGTATCAGAGATGCTGGAAACACACTGTTAGCACAGCAAACAAACACACTCCCATCCGTCCGTCCCCGTGAGCCAGGGTCCTGAACAAACACACCGGAGCGGACGGACGACAGACGGATCAAACACACGGCCTGATCGGACTCACTCAGTCTGACTGACTGTGGCTAGCGACTATCTGATGCTGCAAAGTTAATGTCGCTATTCATCTGAATTCAGTTCAAGTGCTGTTTTCATCCGATGTTGTATTTACAGATAAGCAGAAATTATTACTGAATATTAAACCCCAACTACATGCCATCATGAAGTTCAGACTGTACTGCTGCATAAACACTGTTTATAACCACTTTTTTCATGGTTTTATGGTTTATTTTTAGTTAACTATAATAACCTTGAAAAAAAAAAAACTAAAAACTTTCATATCACATCTTTAAGGATTTAATCTTTATTCTAAATGTCTGTCATCCTTTCACAAACGTGTCCCTGCAGCACAAAAGCAGTGTTAAGTCGCTGGGGGATATTTGCAGCAATAGCCAACAATACATTGTATGGGTCACAATTATACATTTCTCTTTTATGCCAAAAATCATTAGGATATGAAGTAAAGATCATCTTCCATGAACATATTTTGTAAATGTCCTACTGTAAATATATCAAAACGTAATGTTTGATTAGTAATATGCATTGCTAAGAACTTCATTTGGACAACTTTAAAGATGATTTTCTCAATATTTAGATTTTTTTGCACCCTCAGATTCCAGATTTTCTAATAGTTGTATCTTGATGGTGAATACGCTGCTGCCCGCCGTCACAATGCCGTTCACCAGGCCCAGCCTCCGCTTGAAATAGTGACCCAGGATCACCAGACTCGGCTGATATGCAAAACTGCAGCCACACGCAAAGACTATGCCATAGGTGAAGTACATTGGCCCGAGAGACCTGCAGAGAATAACGATTGGACTGCGTTAACTTTAAAGGCACATTATAAATCAAATTAAATACTACTAGTAATGCAATTCAAAGCACAATTGTGAAATTTCTCCTGACAGTTTTTGTGCTATCGAAATTCTTCCTCGTCTCTCAGTTTAATGTTGACTGTAAATCAGTGATTAATAGATTGATTCTGCTGAAGAGTGAACCACTGCAACTCCGTGATGCTTTTAAAACATTAATCTATTTCTCTGACCAATGGCTAATAGTAAAAACTTTTTTTTTCAGTTTAGTTCTGGTGATGCTAGTGGCGCAAATATGAAATACGTTAGCTTTAATGTCAGGAGTGTAAACGTATGATTGCTTTGTGGTCAGCTAAACTCCATTTAGAGCTAGTTATGCTCTCCAGTTCAGCAGACTGCAACATGTATTTAGTGCAGTGTATTTAAGTACAGGTATTTGTTTGTTAATCTTCAGTATTTAGAGAAACAATAAGCAACAACTTGTCGCTGATTGTAACAGTCATACAAAGTGCGTTAAGTAATCAGATTACTTTTTAATGAAACGAGTACCCAAGTCATTACTGCTGTATTAATTTAATATCCTTACTGATAGTTGAAAGCCTTCAGAAACATCTTGAGAAGAGAAGAGAAGAGAAGAGAAGAGGGCCAAGTACAGAGCCTAGTGGGACCCCAGTGTCAGACTAAAGGAGTACAATCTTGTATGTTTCAATTTAATCAATGGAACTTTGGGTTCTTTAGGAACAGGAAAAACAGTGTCTTAAAGTACTGAGTAAGATGAGAAGGCATCCCCACAGTCCTTCAAATCATGCGTCAGAATAAAAACATTATATTGTCAGGTGTTCTGGATGATCTCCACATCTATACTCCATCCACTGCTTACAGACAAAACCATTCCCTTTTGACAGCGAACATAAAATCACACAGGAAGGATAGTTGAGTATAAAAACAGATGGGCCACAGCAACTAGAAAGCAATCATTTTATCCAGTTTACAGTCCATTGGCTAAGCACTAGTAAGTACACTTGGTAGTGAAGGATGGTCATTACCACCTATTTCCAGTTACAGGTAATATAAGCATTAATTGAACTGCTTAGCAAGAAATTAAAAAAAATCTCTATCTAAAACCTGAGGTGAATGTAATGTACTTACGTGACGAAGGAACTGCCCAGAAGTCCCACAAACGCCACTGCTGCCCCTCCAACTGCTGTAATCCGGCAGCCAAACAGATCGGTGAACACACTGACGATCGGTGAGAAGAAGAAGATCATACCCATTGAGAGCGAGCCGACCCATGCTACACACACACACACACACACACAGAGAGAGAGTTCATTTATATAAAGCCAGCAGTCTAAGTAAATTAAACTTCCATTAGATACATTTAAATGTGTTTAAATGTGTGTGATAACAAACAACTCATTATATAATGCTGTTTTAAAGATTTACATTAAAAAACAACAATACAGACCAGATCGAGTCAAATGACAGAGCGCACCAGTATCCATCAACCCAAATAAAACAAGAAAATAATCAAATGGGATGAAGTATTTTTCATTTGTAAAGCAATTCATGCACTGGATTATACAAAATGAGCATTATTATTTCCAGCATGAAATAGCTAACTGTTAAATGATTCATACTGTGCCACTGTATTTCAGCACAGTTCTCACAGGATACTGCGCCTGTAATTTATTCTTATCACATAAACAATCATTTTTAGAGAGAAAGATCCTACACACAGACACAGAAATGTTAATCTAACACACCACAGACTTACATTATATTTCTGTGGCATGACACACACTGGTTTTACTGCAGGACTGAGAGTTTTCATTAAACATCAAGGGGAGAGAAAGCTGTTGTACAAAAGTTCATTAAATGTCCTTAATCATTGATATGTATTAGCATGAACTGGATCACGTGAGTTTGCAGTAAAAAACAGCCGTGTTTGAGTCTGACACGTGAGCCTGACATGCATTACCGTCCTTCATGCTGCAGTTTCACAAAGGAAGTCAAAGTGATCATGTGATGATCTGGGTTATGGAGTAAGTCTCTCTCCGACAGAAACACACACACACGGCCATCTAACTTCCCTAAAGAACACCACACATGACACTCATGAAGGCATCCTATTTATTCTACTTTATTTCACCAAAACGATCCTGAATCTGAGTCTGTGTATGAAAAAGCTTTTTTAGGAAATATATAAATAAATAATTAATAAATAATATTAATATTTATAATAAGACAAGAACCAGCTGTGTTTGGCATCACTGTCGGACACAGTGTGGTGCAGCTTCATCATGGCCTGTATTTGAATTCATATTAATATCACACAAAATCATCATGAAGACTGGAAAAGAAAGAAAGAACAAATGAAAGAAAAAAGAGAGCAAAAACGAATAAAGAAACATGCAAAAGAAAGAAGGAACGAGTGACTGGTAAGGAGAAGAACAGAGGGATTGATTCTGTGACCCTCGAGCTACAGCAGCCTGACATGTGTGACTCTCTCCAGCATCAGCGAGGAGGACCTGAGTGAAACCACGGCGTGTGTCCAGTCTGTAATGATTCCTCACACACTGCAGTGAGTATCAGAGATGCTGGAAACACACTGTTAGCACAGCAAACAAACACACTCCCATCCGTCCGTCCCCGTGAGCCAGGGTCCTGAACAAACACACCGGAGCGGACGGACGACAGACGGATCAAACACACGGCCTGATCGGACTCACTCAGTCTGACTGACTGTGGCTAGCGACTATCTGATGCTGCAAAGTTAATGTCGCTATTCATCTGAATTCAGTTCAAGTGCTGTTTTCATCCGATGTTGTATTTACAGATAAGCAGAAATTATTACTGAATATTAAACCCCAACTACATGCCATCATGAAGTTCAGACTGTACTGCTGCATAAACACTGTTTATAACCACTTTTTTCATGGTTTTATGGTTTATTTTTAGTTAACTATAATAACCTTGAAAAAAAAAAAACTAAAAACTTTCATATCACATCTTTAAGGATTTAATCTTTATTCTAAATGTCTGTCATCCTTTCACAAACGTGTCCCTGCAGCACAAAAGCAGTGTTAAGTCGCTGGGGGATATTTGCAGCAATAGCCAACAATACATTGTATGGGTCACAATTATACATTTCTCTTTTATGCCAAAAATCATTAGGATATGAAGTAAAGATCATCTTCCATGAACATATTTTGTAAATGTCCTACTGTAAATATATCAAAACGTAATGTTTGATTAGTAATATGCATTGCTAAGAACTTCATTTGGACAACTTTAAAGATGATTTTCTCAATATTTAGATTTTTTTGCACCCTCAGATTCCAGATTTTCTAATAGTTGTATCTCAGCCAAATAACCCTTATGACTGGTTTTGTGCTCCAGGGTCACACATGTGCCCACAAACATCACACAGCACTTACAGCGACTGCGATTCAAGTGAGACACACAGCATCTGTACAGACAGTCACTCGAGTTCTCATCCTTCTCCTTCATAGCGGAGCATGAACACGACCGTATGCAGCGCTTCATCCTCAGACAGTTCATGTTGTGTTGGGTGTTTACTCTGGATCATGGAAACATTCAACTACGGAAGAAAATCCTTCGCCGTCTCCTCACACAGAGTTATGTCCTCCTGTTCCTGAAAACCAGCTTCCCGAGAGCCACAAATAAGCATCACGTCTCCAAACACTTGACTGCGTGACGTGAAGAGCGGATTGAGATCCATTCCACTTCCTGTTTCTGTGTTGTGTGTGATTAGATCCATCAGCGAGCGACACTCCCGGGGCCGAGAGTCAAGAGTAAACCAGCTCATCTGCTGCTCTCTGAACTCTGATCTCCTGTCTGCTTACTCCAGCTGTCTCATCAGAGAGGTCTGTAGACGGGACGCCAGTGATTTCTCACAGGAAATGATGCGCTGAGCACACAGGCTCTGGTGAACGTGATTTCACCAATTACATCATTCCAATCAACCAATCAGAATTGAGGGATACGTCTTCAAGAAATGTCAGTTTTAGGCTTACAATCAGGGTTAGATGCTTCTACACCCTTGTATTCACCTAGCATTTCCCTCTGATTTTAAGAATAAATTATGGGTAGGGTTATGTTTAGGGGTTAGGTCTATATTTTTAGGGGTTAGGTCTATATTTTTGGACAGTAATGTTGATCACAGCGACCCACAGATAGATATAAACTGTCTTGTCAAAGTCTGAAATGTATATATATATATATATATCAGGCTCTGGATCAGACTCTCACACAGAGGAACCTGCGCCGGTGTCAGATTCACAAACACTGATATTAATGACCATAATGTTGGGTGTTTACTCTGGATCATGGAAACATTCAACTACGGAAGAAAATCCTTCGCCGTCTCCTCACACAGAGTTATGTCCTCCTGTTCCTGAAAACCAGCTTCCCGAGAGCCACAAATAAGCATCACGTCTCCAAACACTTGACTGCGTGACGTGAAGAGCGGATTGAGATCCATTCCACTTCCTGTTTCTGTGTTGTGTGTGATTAGATCCATCAGCGAGCGACACTCCCGGGGCCGAGAGTCAAGAGTAAACCAGCTCATCTGCTGCTCTCTGAACTCTGATCTCCTGTCTGCTTACTCCAGCTGTCTCATCAGAGAGGTCTGTAGACGGGACGCCAGTGATTTCTCACAGGAAATGATGCGCTGAGCACACAGGCTCTGGTGAACGTGATTTCACCAATTACATCATTCCAATCAACCAATCAGAATTGAGGGATACGTCTTCAAGAAATGTCAGTTTTAGGCTTACAATCAGGGTTAGATGCTTCTACACCCTTGTATTCACCTAGCATTTCCCTCTGATTTTAAGAATAAATTATGGGTAGGGTTATGTTTAGGGGTTAGGTCTATATTTTTAGGGGTTAGGTCTATATTTTTAGGGGTTAGGTCTATATTTTTGGACAGTAATGTTGATCACAGCGACCCACAGATAGATATAAACTGTCTTGTCAAAGTCTGAAATGTATATATATATATATATATCAGGCTCTGGATCAGACTCTCACACAGAGGAACCTGCGCCGGTGTCAGATTCACAAACACTGATATTAATGACCATAAAGCTGAAGATTATCACTCGAGATGATAAGATTGTGGACGTTATCGTAAAGTCCAAAGTGTGTCGATCTGTATTTATGCTGACAAACATGTGAGTTTTACAGGACAAGGTTCTTCAGTGCTCAATGAAATCAGCCTTATTTCTCCAAAATTCCATTTAATATTTTCCCAAATTAATTTTTTCCATTTTAATTTTTCTGGATTCTGTTTTAATTAAACCTTAATAATCAAAAAGCATGTCTCCTCTGATTAATACAATTTTTCATAAAACAAAATGTAAGAATTTATTCAAATGTTACCAGTAATCTATGCTTAGAAATGTGTCTTAATCGTTCAGAAATTCTCTGTTGTCTGTTTTCATGTTTCTGGATTTGATTTAATTTATCATTTAATTCAATCAAAGAAGGTGGTAATCAAATGAATGCATACAACTTTAAAAATGTAACTCGTCTCTTAAAATGCAATTCCTTTTTACTTTATTTTATTTTTTGGTAAAGTGCTGCACAACAGAGACATGAAGTGTGTGATATTCTTTAAAATAATGTTTAAATAAATTGTATTATTACTATCATTCTTTTGAGAAGGAAATTCTACTGCGGTAAGAATATACAGTAATAGAGTTCTGAATTTGATTGGAATGCGTGTCGTCCAGCACAAGTGTTTTTAAGATGGCATGCTAAAGTTAAAAATAGTCCCGCTTTTAAAGAGACGTCTGCACAGGACCGCTTCAGACTTCTGGGAGGACAATATCAATCACCGCATTCTGATCAATCAATATCCACTCTTCAATCTCAAGATCAATCTTTTTGTCTGTGCTGTTACCGGTTCATACGTAAACTTCACGCAGCATGATTTGTGTCGCGCCTCCCATCCAATAATCGCAGTAATCTTTGTGCCTTTGATGTTAAACTCAGCTTTCAAAATTCTGTCAGCTTCAGTATGAAATTTTAAAAATGAATACCATTTTTGACTCTTTAATTTGACCGTTTGTTAATAAAAAGAATCGTCTGAATGTTTAAAAAGGTTTAAAAAGTCTTGACATTAGAGGTTTCACAGGCCTTACAGACAGATCTGTTTAAAATGTCACATACAGACAATTCCACCCAATTCATTTTTTTTAACAAAATGAACAGACCAGGGTGGAAGAAGACTTAATTTCCCAGAATTCCTAGAATAACCTGCTC